TGTGTCGCTAAAGTTTCGTCGGAACGAATTTACGAAAAATTAACTAACGACTGGAGATGTAACAATATTAATGTCGTTGTTTTTGTCGTCGCCCCTGTCTTCAAAGAGCTCAAAAATTTTACCAGACTGGGAGCTCAACCAGTTTACTTGCCCTTGCCTGAACATTTCAAAACAGTCATAAACGCGAAAGTGCTTAACGTCATCTGCAAACTTTACAAGTTTATTAATCATATACCCCTATTGTTGCCATTTACGAAATTAAGGAAAATAAAATAAAATCCCAAACAGGGCCTTCGAGGCACACCTCAATCTGGTTTGACTGGACTCTTTTGCTTCTCACACCCAGCCATTCTTCAATCAAGTTAACAATTTCCCTAAATCCTCACCGAAATGAGTTTCTTTGCTGATATTCTGTTTAATCAACATCTTATTAAAAGCCTTTTAAAAATGTATGTATATCAAGTCCACATATTTTCCATCATTCAATAACAAGTACGTTAACAGGATATTTTCCTTTGCCTTTAGTGAGTCCATTTTGCCATTCTTTTATGATATCATCATTCATTAAATGGTTTTGCAAAGATTCTTTCATCAAACTTTCTATAATTTCTCCAGGTATGGAAGTGAGTTTAACTGGCATATAATTTGTAGAAGAATTCTTTAGCACCCTCTTTAATATGCTAGCAACTCTTCAATCCTCAATCACTTTGACTTTAAAACCCTAGGGAATGCTGTTCTTGGTGCTTTAACTAGTTAAAACCCTGATTTGCAATTTTTGGCAGAAGAAAAGTTAGTTCTGTTTTCTTCAATAGAAATATATATATATATATATATAATTATCTGTGCCTTTCTCTTAAAAACATTGTCTAAGGTTCTACGCAAAATGAGTGGGAATAACTTTAACTTACAATATTGTTACGACAATGGAAGTCACATGACACTGCTGATGAGTTTCTCGAATGATCGGGGAAGTCCGAGTGTGTTCGAGATGCCCTTTTCGTTGGTATATAAGCCTGGCAGAAAGAAGCCAGCGGAATGACTGAACAGAGAGCAGTAGTTACTTTGAGTTCTGTGTAATTTATGATCTCTGTTAGTTTCGAGCTAGTGAGTCAAAAAGTGTGTGTTTTGCACTCGTCGAGAGCGAAGTTATCGAGATTGTGAATCGCTGTGATTTATAGCGTGTATTATAGAAGTTGTTAAGTTTAAAGTGACGAGAAACGTGCTGATTGTGGAACTTCTGTGTACTAAAAGTTGTATCGAGGAAGAATAAACTGGTTTAATCAAGAAAGGACTTGTATCGCTGAAGATCCTCGGAAGGAATTTCTACCGGAAACAAACAGACAAACAAAGTAAAAATGTTTGTAATGTCGTGATTTCAATATCCAATTTAGTGAACTTATTTACTTTAAAACTACGAAAAATATTGATGTAACAGTTTCACACGCAGTTTTTTAAATATATCTTTATTTACGTTTTCAATAACGTTTGTTCTTGTTTTGTTACTTTTTATAATCTTTGTACGTGAGATATATATACTATTCGTAAGGTTAAATGAAAGAAATGTGTTTAAACTTTGCTTCTTCACTAAGTAAATATTGATGGTGTTATTTTACTTCTTATTTTTTTCAAATTAAAACAATTTTACATAAGGTCCCTTTAATATACACGTTTTTTTGTTTGTTTGTTGTTTTTTCTTTCAAGGGTGACCTCTGTAACATGGAAGTATTGGGAATGGTGAACGAGATCCATTCTGTTCAGGGCCAAAAAATGGAAAATGATTCTATTCGTAGAAACTCTACGGTGACTTTTCAAGATTACTTAGATGACAGTTTTGATAATCCTTCGTTTTCTCAAGATATTTTCTCGCGTGGGAGTGAAATGATGAACCTGAGTGATTCCAGTACAGATTCTACCCAAGTTTGTGAAGTTGGAACTCTGGAATTTTCTTTGCAACATCCAATATCAGTTGGTGAGCAAATAAGTGATCATGATCAGGAAAATGCTGGGTAAGTGATACTCATTATAGTATTGATAGGTGCTATAATTTATTCAAAACTTCACTTTTTAATAGTTTTGTTTGCTTCTTTAAGTTCTTAGTGTCAATGGTGTTCCACTTCCAGTGGTTTTATAATGTGCGAGTCATACTCATAGTCTCGAAACCATAACATCTTAAGACTACTGTTTTAACTTAAGTGAAACTTCTAAAGTTGTATTTGAATAACCAGCAAGTTAGATAGTTTCAAAATGTTTAGACTAAGAGCTCTTTTTTTATTTGTCAAGTATTGTTAAGTTCCAAATCATTCCTGCTGTAATTTGTGAAATGACACACCCTGTCAAAATGTGTATTGGCTATGGTGCCATATAAATTTTAATGTACCTCTACATTTATAAGCTAGATTTTGTTTCAAGTTAATACAGTAAAAAAGTAACTACGGCAAACTAAAATGTAGGGATAAATTATGAAGTTTAAATTTACATAACTAGGGGAAGTATAAGGATTTGTTTAAAAAAGAAATAAAGAAATCCAAAAGGCTTACAAGAAAGCTGACTAATAATGCACTTGGATCACACATTTAATATGACCAAGTTAATAGTGAGAACTACAAAAACTAAAAAAAAAGGATCTTGGTATAGTGATGGTTAAGTCACCCAAAGCATTGAAACAGTGTTCTGTTTCTAGTACTAGTTGTAAAACTAATAAAATCTCAGGATTTATTTATAAGACTTACTGATTTCAATTCAAAAAACGTAATGTAATTTTCTCTCTATAAAAATCAGTAGTACTAGATAGGCATTACTTGGAATAATGTGTATAGTTTTGCTTTCCTTATCAAAGAAGGGTTATTGGCTAACCATAAGGGATTTGGAAAAAGGCTACTTGGATAATTTCATGTTAAGGTCTCACCTTATTTTCTATTCAAAAAGAAAAAGATAAGAAGTGATCTTATTGAAGTTTACTCCATTATTTTTGGGGGATCAATATAAAAAGGCCTTTTGTGTTAAATTTTAAAGAGAACAGAATGAGTGAACACAAAGTTAAGATTTGCAAGAAAAGCTAGGCACCAGTTAAGACAGTTTTATAACATAACAGGGTGACTGACTTATGGAACAAAGTGGCCTTTTTTTTGGTACTGGAGGCCAGCACTTTATATAATATATAATATAATAGAAGTTTAAGAGAAGAATTGATGATTTCATGAAAAGCAAAGGGTAGGTTTAAATTTTTACTTTTCTAAAGGGTGGGTGTGCATGGATATTCCTGAAGGATCAAATGGTCCCTTTTTGACTTTAGGTTATGTGATGTTACATTACAACTCATTATTTACCAAGTTTTACATTTGATTATGTTAAAGATTATAAATAATATAAACTAATATGATAATAAAATATTGTCTGTATGTTGATAAGATGAAGCAAAAATTCATAAATAAACTTTTATCACATTTTTTTCACTATGTTAATTCACAAAAATTTGAAAATAAACAGTAATTCAGTAAATCACAAATTATATGTAGGCTAAATTACGTCATGAACTTGGTGCTATGTGGTTTCATAGTGTCTTAATGACTTACTTATTCATTTGTTGTTATAGGCTATTATAGATTTTTATCAGTTACTTATAGATTATTTAGATTATTATTATTATTTTGATATATATATGTATGATTAATTTGTTGTCTGGTATTAGTATTAATATACTTTTCATCTCTCACACCTCTGAAGCAACAGTGTATCTAGTATATGATAAGTATTACATAACTATACATAATTACTTTGTGTATTTGCATTCTTTGTTTGTAGGCATATCTTCCTCTGTATACACAGATCATTCTTTATTTTCCTCACATTTCATAATCTTCCAGTCACTTCTGGTTTACAATTCTTCTTCTTCTTCCGTAGCTTTTTCCCGTATCTATACGGGGTCGCTATTTTCGGTTTTGGCAGGGTTTTTATGGCCGGATGCCCTTCATGACGCCAACCATCCCCTAATTTAGCAGTGTAAGACAAGAGGGAAGGCTGCTAGTCATCACCACCCACCGCCAACTCTTGGGCTACTCTTTTACCAATGAATAGTGGAATTGACCGTCACTTATAACGCCCCCATGGCTAAAAAGGCGAGCATGTTTGGTGGGATGGGAGCGTGAACCCGCGATCCGCAGATTGTGAGTCGAGTGCCCTAACCACCTGGCCATGCTGGGCCTCTGGTTTACAATTCTTTACCATAGGCAAATTTGTTTTTTTTTATTTGTGCAGAATTTATCCAAGCAGTTTTCAGTTATAGAATTTGGGAGGCTGTTTCTCATGTTTACTATTCTTTAGCTAAAGTTAAGGTGCCTTATGTTTAATTAGCATTTCTATTTGAACTATTAGATTTATTTTTGTGTGTCCTTTACTTATTTTTAACCAGTTATACACCACAGCATTGTCATAGAGATACTGTTAGTGGTCTTATATGTTTCAGTCATGTGGCCCATAATCTTCTAAAGCAGTGTTTCCCAACTACTGGGGCACAAGCTGGTACCAGGATGCGATATGTTGGACAAATATTTCACTAAAACTAAAAAGTAATTCTTTATCAGTAACGTTCAAAATTTTTATATGCCGCCAACAATTAAACTTAAACCTTTCGTGACAGGTGGGTCTAAGTGCACATGTCATGATGTTTTAATGAGTTACATTCAAAGTTTATTTAAACTACTTAATTATCGTAGTAGACGATGGAGGCTGCCTGTGACCTGATTCTGGGTGGGATAGAGTCCTTCGTGCAGCTCGGGGGTTTCTCCCCAGGGGGTTCAGAGTTAGTATCATTATCTCTTCTAGTTATGACCTTTGTACTCAGTTGCTGCTTGACATAGGTTGCTAAGCCTTTTAAAATTTTGCACGTGGAGGATACGAAACAAAATAATTTTTTTTAGGTTTTATATATACAGTTGAATAACCAAAAAATCATGAATTACTATATCAATGCCATAGAATTCCACTATAATTTATCAAGCTTAGTAGGTAAGCTGTATTTCAGTCTTAAAAAAATATTGAAATCTTGGTTCAAAAGAAAGAAATTGTGCTAGCCACGTTAGAAAGGCTGAGAAAACCACTAGGGGACATTCTGATCATCCAATTGGTTATTCATGTCATATGCAGAAGTAAGTGTATTTAAGGAGCATTTCCAAAAATGGAAAGAGGTGGGCAGAGTGCCATTGTGTTTGATTTATTACATGAGCAATATCTGTAATTTGTGTTTCTAATTCGTTCTAAACAATAGACTTAGTATTTTGACTTCACAAACATCTAATTTGAACCAGTGCTACATACAACATACCATGTGACACACAAAAATTGATGTTTATCTGTGTTTTTTTTAACTTTTAAATTAAGAAATTGAGTAATGCATAGTTCTAAAATTTGAATTATAATCTACAGTTTGATACAAACTTATTGACATAAATTCTTGAAATTGTAGTACAATAAAATTTTGAATGCGAGTCAACAAACAAGATGACATGGCCTTTCTGAAAAGGGTTTAATAGCATAGAAATGTTTTTCAACAAGAAGACAGGAAACTTGAGATAAGATAAACTTATACAGTTTAAAGATAGGTTGATTGGGTAACAAAGAAAATTTAGTACAAGCTTAACAAAATCATAAATGTACAATGTTTGGAGAAGGCTGGTTTTGTCATCATCAGGTACAAGATGTTTACCTAAACACAGGAATAAATATACAGTATGAAACAAGTCATATGACCAGAGATTGTTTAATGCTTAGTAAAGGTATCTTGTTGATGTTTTGTTCTTTGTTTAAAATTACAGTTTTAACTTTTTTAATAGATATCAAGTTTTTATCATTATGTTCACCAAATGAAATAAAATCATTTTCAAATCAGATAAGCTTAGTTCAGTTTACTATTTTATGAGTGTATTCTAATGCCTCAGTTTTTTATTGAATATTATTTTATGTTTATCCTACTTCAAACAATGTACATAAGTTGGCTGACTGACTATTTAATTATTTTTAATCTCAACTATGATGTGTTTAAATAAAAAAGTTATTAACCTTATTGGTAACAGTAAAACATGTTTTCATTTTTTAATTGTCAATTTATTTGATTTATTAAAGTTTAATGTGGGATTACTGCATATTTTAAAAATGGCAAACATGTGATTGTCTATAGAGAACATTAGGGATTCATTCACCAAGTAGAAAATGTCCAGATTATCTTTCAGAACAAATCAGTGACAAAGTCCATAAACATTGACCTCATGAAGATGTATATAACATGAAAAAAAGGATAATTCAGAGATCCTTAAAAAAACAGGTTAATACAGGAAGATTAAAACCAGGAATAAAATAGTACAGTAATAAAATTATGAAACTAGTACTTCTCCCCATTTTTGTTTTTTCTTTTGCTTGTACAGGTGGTGGGGTTGGGGAAAGTAGTTGTTTAGCAAATACCACTAATTGTCCAAATCTAACAGTGAGAACCATGTAAGTTCTCATGATATTTTTATTGAAATTGAAACTTGAGCTATTAAGCATTCAAATTATTTTGGTCCATTCTATTCATTATTCATGTGCCATCAGTGAATATTTTATTCTTAAATACTTTAGGCCTTTCATAGCTTGGATTAAATTTCTTAACCTGATTCATTTTCATTTTCCTGACAGTAACATGCATACTAGTATTGCTGTTTCTCATAAGTTAAACATGATTTACCTATCTTTGATCTTTGGTATCTTTTTACTTCATTTTTAATTGTAATATAATATATAATATAATTATAATATAATATATAATATAATTATAATATAATATATAATATAATATAATCAACAAAATGTTTCCTATTATTTGTTAGGATATTTCATTGCTATCTGACTAGAACAAAATGCTGTTGTTTTTTAAGGGGATTGACATCAGTTATTTGTGCCTTATGTCAAATCTCACTCTATGGATCTTGCACTATCCACATTGACAAATTGGTTTGTACTGATGATCTAACTGTTCTCAAACACTTTAAACATGAATTTTGAATTACATCTCATAAAATTGACCATTTGGCTCTAATTTTGGCTTTCCAGTCTCTATATATTTTGGAGGACATCCTTTAGGACAGCATTTTACCTTCATTACATTGCTGTCTTTTCAGCTTCAGGACTCCATTTGCAGTCTTTGATTATTCTCCAGTCTCAGTGGAATCCATAAAAGCTCTGTTTTTTGTGCCCAACACCCATTGTTGACAATTTACAGGGTTTATGGTATTGCTGAGATTTTCTGTTTAAAAAAATGTATGTATGGAGACTGTATTTATGTGGATTCATCATGTTAGGGCTCTCACAAGTCCTTTAACCTCTGCATTTATTCAATATACAACTCCACCTTTTGCATTTTGGCTCCATGAGAGTATGTTGTCACCTGTAATAAAATTGAATAAATCAGATATCATGATCTTTCCTTATAATATGAAATTCTGTGTATGGATTCATCCTATTGGGACTTTCAACAGGTCACATATACCCATACATTTGTCCTAGACTAAATTCCATCTTCTGAACTGGAGCTACACAAAAGGATGATGCTCTCGAAAAGTGGATAGAGGATGCCATCTTACAACTGTTGATGCCTCAATTGGTATCATTTTCCACCTCTGTAGGCAAGTGTTGGAGATATCAGAAATGGAATTCCTGTTATCACTAGCTGTTTCAGTTCCAACTTGGATGGGAATCATTTATGTGTTTTTTTATGTCCTCATTGCCCTTACATTGTTGAGCCCTTTCTTAGAACTGCTTGGTATTTTCTTTTTTTTTTTTTTTTGGTTTTCCCTGGGTTCCCATGAATTTGGCCAGGAGCATGACTCAATGGCTTTTTTACAGCCCCTGGCATATGTCTACTTTTAATGAGACTGGGTTGTTCCCCTGAGAACCTTCCATTGCAAGAGTAGAACGTAGTATTTTAGCTACCTGCTTATGCCATCATCTGTCCCATTTTTGTCTCCACACATGAGGTACACCTTTACCACTCTCAAAATTGACACCTTTTCCTCAGTTGAAGGACATTATGGATGAAGAGTACCCTGTTCAGAATAATGAATTGTTTCTGAGTGTCCTTTAGTTCTAGTCTTTGTATAAAGTTGGTCCACTTCACTCATATTCTATCAAATCCAATTCTTTAATTTTTTTTTTTCTGATTCTGGATTATACTCCAACTCTGCTTGGCTACATCTTTATTGTAATCTAGAGTAGTATCTTTCTGCCATATAACTTATGGTTTTTTTTAATTGTCCTTTTGATTTTCTTTGGATCCCACCTCCTTTTCAGTGTGTATATTCTGTATTTCAGAGGCAAGACTACCTGATTTGAATTTAACATTTTGATAATTAAAATAAATTTCATACAGGTACTAACCTTTGAAATACCTTCCTCCCATCTACTACTACTACCAGATTTTCATCAGCTGAAATTTAAACCAAATTTAAATTATGATGGGAAAGGAGAGCTTATGTGAGATCACCTGGAGCTTGTGCATTAACTCACATAGAAGATGGGAGGGTAGAGTTATGTGTAAGTGATGCATGTTCTGCAATACCTAATAGACTTTCAGAAGTTTTGAGTTACATATTTTTTGACAGCATGAGTACAAGCTCAAAAAGGCAAAGCTGTCAGTATTTCAAAAGTAAGTACCTGTTTTAAAATTTATTTTAATTCTAAATAAGCAAAACTTAATGATATTTTAATGGTGTTTTATTTTCAGTTACATTCATCATACTATCTCTGCAGACCAAATATATATGCAGATTAATCCTGGTAATAGTCCCATGCCCCGCAATCCATCACATGCTACACTTACAGTTGAGAGCAGAAACCAGGAAACTAAGAAAAAAGAAATCAAGAGATTTCGTTGTGATTTCGAAGGATGTTCTCGATCCTACAGTACTGCTGGAAATCTTAAAACACATCAGAAAACTCATACTGGTTAGCTGTTGCTTTTATAAGATGTTTTTAATGTTAAAATATGTACAAATAATTTAATTTAGGTGGTTATTACAAAACAATGTATTTGTCTGTTTAGGCCTTTTTCAATTTAATATTCTAATAGTGTATACTCCATTCCAAACATATTTCCAAATTAACAAACTAAGGTGATTAATTACAAATCTTTGTTAAAAGAAATGAACAGGTGAGAAATAAAGATTTTAATGGGTGCTTTTACTTACATAGATATAATACTTATAAACAAATATTCAGAAAGAAAATCAGCAACAAAAATATTACAATTGATACTTGAAACCATTGGTACTTGGTGAAACTCCATTATTACAGAATTGAGGAAAATTGTATGTCTCACAAAAACACCATTTATTAATGACCATAGTTTCACCAGCAAAGCCATCATCAGTAAGGGGGAAACTATGGTTGTTAATAAATGAGGTTTTTGTGAAACATACAATTTTCCTTAATTCTTTAGTAATGGAATTTCACCAAGTACCATCGGTTTCAAGAATCAATTACAAACATGTACAATTTCCTCAATTCTGTAACAAAAGTATAACTTATTGACAGAAAATGTCACCAAACAGAAGAACAAAAAATTAAAACTTTCTTATGTAATTATGTGAGCTTGCTATTGTGTATATACACCATGTACCTGAAACACTTTTAAAAGTAGAAAAAGCTTATTACTCCTTGGTGTTGTTACTACAACTCAATAATGTTTAGGTACACAAATACTTATTTTGATAGCATCTTTGGATTGTGTATATTCTTATGGGTCAGTAACAAGTTAGAAGCAAAGGTAAGCTGAAATAAAAATAAAAAAGCATTTAATCAAGTGGTGGCATATCTTTATTTTTCATCTTAATGTAATTTGAGTTTTTATATTTTGGTTTCTGTCTTATTTCAAATGAATATTGAAATTCATATATTTAATAGGTAAATAAATAAATTTTATCTTAAGTTTTAATCCCTTTTTTTCTTATGGCATTGTTTATGTACCATATTCCAGTTAACTCTAGAATTACCATTGAAGTCTATATAAACACCATTGGGTTTTTAAACACATTTGCTAAGTTGTATGTGGGTCCATGTCTTTGTTAGTTATAGAGTGTCTAACAACATGTGTGTCACACAATAGTAAGTATAAATAAAGAGAAAGAAATTACCATCAATATAGCAATTAACCCAGCAAATTACTACTGGAGTCCCCTATGTACTTTACATTAAAAATGAGTGATTTTACTAAGTTTGTTTCATCAGTTTTTCAAACTGAGTACTGTTATAGACAAAAACAAAACTCATAATAATGCAGTGTGTGTGTCTCTCACTGGTAGTGAATGGTGCAAAAACTAGTTGGTAATTTGAGGGTTAGCACTATAAAAGTCTTAGAATTTAGAACCACAAGCTCTGTTTAATTCTTTAAAAATGAGAGTTAATGTATTTTTATTTATTACATTAGTCCTTTTTTTAATGTAAGAACTATAAAAGCTTAACTTATTTCCTTTTTTAGTCCACCAGATACTCCATAATGTGAACCAAAAACGTTTTGTGAAGTGGATCCAGTTAGTTGGTCACATTTGTACAAGTGCATAATTGGAAATCATTTTAATTTTTTCATTCTACACACACATATTGGCTGTTTGGTGTGCAGTAACACTGAAAAAAAGGTCTATTAAGTGTGTAACTTAAAATGTGATAATAAAATTATGATTTAAAATTTAAACTGTTCATCAATAAGATAAAATTATGAATATAAATTAGGATTTTTTAATGATTTTGTCAAAAATGAAAATTTTTTCTCTATTATTCAAATTATTAAATATTCTCATTTGAAAAAATTCAAATTGTCTGTTAATTTTTCTAACTTAAATTTTAGGAGAGTTTACTTTTGTATGTACACAAGAAGGATGTGGAAAAACATTTCTGACATCATACAGCTTAAAGATTCACGTACGAGTTCACACAAGAGAGAAACCATTTGAATGTAATATTGGAGGTTGTGAAAAAGCTTTCAACACTTTGTATAGGTAAGGATTACAGCTTGACATTTTTATAGTTTACATTCTTTTAAGTATTACCATTTTTTAATGTCACGTTATTCTAGATATAGGAGATCATGTCCAATCAGAAATTTGAGATAGATATTACAAGCCTCTAAAAAATAAATATAGAAATTGTCTTCAGAAATGTATACTCAACTCTATGCATGACAAAGAGCTATTACTTTGTGTCAGTACTGTAAATATTTTTGTGCATGCCACAATCCTTGAATGAAGTTGCCACCCCTACATGTATTAAAGTGTATTGCACCAGCCTATTATGTAATTATCATTAGACTATAGCCCTCTAACCATAGAAGGGCAACATCCTCCATGCACATTAATTCTCTTAACAATAACATTGGAACAGGGCCGAATCGTGCCTCTGAGTCAACCATGTGCAGATTCAGGTTCGCCACCCCCTACGAGTTTCCAAGTTAAATCAAATCATATACAAACAATATTAATTGAAAAAAATAAAAACGTCATACTATGATCTAACAGTAAAGTAGACCAGTAGTAATAATATCAACTTTTATTAGATTAAATATAACGCTTATTACACAAGCCAGTGAAGCCATGCACTAATTTTAACACTGGTAAAACTAAATTATAGCTGTTTAGTATAAAATATCCATATGAACATAAAAACATGATATGAAAATCAAACAGAAAAGAAGATGAACACTAATATTACTGAATCTTATGTTAATATACATACATTTAGTTTTATTAGTTCACAAGCCATACACACTTTAAGTTTGAAAAAACAATCAATAACTGCATAATGTGATACATCTTCATTTACAGTATAAATAATTACAATTTAATAAACAAATAAAACTTTGATAATCTTTATATAATATTGGCTCATCTGGCTTTTAATTCATAAAATGTATTTATTAGCTGGTGAGTGTCTAACTTATCAGCAATCTCATGTTCAATTGAGGTAGTTTTACAGAAAGCCAAACGCTTCATTATACTTCTTAAGTAATGCAAATCTTTCATTCAATGAGTTAAGGTTTTGTCAAAAATTGAAAAATAAAAATTAATTTTGAAATTTCTTTGTGGATCATTAATAGGTTCATCTGCATGTTCATAGTCAAAATGCTTAACCTTCTTCTGGCAATGAACAACATTTGTGTTCAGGAACTTAGGTTCTACTTCAATGATTTCAGCCAAATCTTTACTACAAGTTAAAATAAAATCTTGAAACTTAAAGCTTTTAATTTTTGTAGCCATACATTTAGCCTGGTAGTGAGTGGTCATATCTTTATTTGTTCCATTCGCTAATTCTGTCGGACTATCATATACTTCTCTGATTTCAAATCTTAGAGGCTTGTTGGCATCAACCCTGCTCTCCCACCTGGTTTCTGAAATTGGTTTTAAGATTAGTTTTGTAAAATATTTTTTTAAGATGCCCCATCTTTAAGTTGAAGATGAAAAAAAATGCATGTAATTTTTGCACAGAATTAAATTCTACAGTGTGACCATTGCTTCATCATTAACTACAAGGTTTAGGCTGGGAAGCTCACGGTACAAAAAAAACTCATGGATTGATATCTAGAATTCTTTTTTGCAAACCATTATGTTTACTGCACATGTTGGTGCCATTGTCATAACCCTAACCTCTGATGTCATGAATATTTAGGTGCCTGCATATTTAGGACATCAGATTCCAAATGAAATTATAACACTAATTTCAAAGGAAATTAATGAATTCATATTATATATATGTCTAGAAGAGCAAAACATTTTTCGATAATCCTTGACCGTACACCAGATGTACACAGAACAAATCACTATAATCATTCGGTTTGTGGAAGTAAATACAAAAGGGTTGAAATTAATGAACATTTCCTTACATTTTATCCTGTCACAGATTCCACTGGGGAGGAATTAACTTTATTTGTTCTGAAAAAGTTGGAAGATTTAAAGACACTGCATATTCTTTTTATTCTATACGCATCTGATATGCTTAGCCATCAGTGAGTAAAACTTAGCTATTATTTCTGTTTCTTTTTTTAAATTTCCATTGTTGGGTTCATACAACTTATCAGAGGAACCTTGAAAAGCTAGATTTTGTCTGGAAACAAATGTTATAATGTACATCATTCGCTTGATTACAGCATACCAGTGTAATTTTTTCTGTCTCAAAGAGTTGTTGTTGTTTATTTATGGTAGACTTATTTTTTAAAGCAGAATTAAGATTGACCATTTTTTGTAATTGTTTATGTGGTATAAACTTTTTTCATGCCTTGAGAAGTGTTGAGAAGCATGTTGCCAATCTGAAAATTCCCCTTTAATCATTTGATTTTCTTGTTTGCTGAGTAATTTACAGCAAAAGCAAAAAACACCAATACATGAAACAGAATAGAGTAGCCAGTTTCTCTCTCAATTTTTACCATTTGTTGAAATGAGGGTATAAAATATATCTGAAAATATTCTTCCATTTTCATCAGCAGGATAATCTACATTTATTTTATGTACAGGTCCATTCTATTCCCGTAACTGCACCTGATTATGAGATAATATAATGGGCCACCTACCAGGGTCATCACTTAAAATATTTTCTGTGTGAGGCAAACTTTCATTTTCTTCCTTGTATTCAGAACTGTCTTCAACATCAGGGCCATTACTTAAAATATTTTCTATGTGAGGCAAAATTTCATTTTCCTCCTTGTTTTCAATCTCCAGCATTTCATCATCTGTGATTCTATTGTCTTTTTCATTATCAATTCCACTGAAGATGTTGATTTATACAGTCTCATTAGTTGGTTTAGTTTCTTCTTGTGTACCTTATATAACTACAAGATGGTACAGAATTTTTATGTGTTATAAATTTTTCTATTGATCCAAAATCCCTTTTTACTCTTTCTTCTATTTGTAATTTTTGCTTTCTGCTCTAGATAATTGTTTTGTCTTTGTATGATCAGCCACCTGTATGAATAAATAAGGGGAGTGTTATTTAACTTATTTTGAACATAATTTTTTTATTTATTAATGGATTTTGCTAATTATGGTAATATCATAGAAATTTGCAGTGAAAGCTTTTCTGAAATTTCTTGATGCCTTTTTTTTTGAGTTAGTTGTTTATTTCAGCCACCATTCTGAAACATCCATAAGGCTTCCTATTTTTGAAAATTAGAAGTTTAAATTCAGAGTCAAGTGTCTACAAATGTTCTCTTCACAGGTTACATACACCAGTAACAGGTACTCTGATGAAATTCCAGTAATTATGATGACAGTAATTTTCTATAGTAAATTATTAATAATGATCATAGTACAATAAGCTAATTATGATAAAGAAAAGGGCAATGATAGTAATACTAATAAAAGATCAATTTTGACAGTAATGGCTAGATTTGACTGGTACACTGACTCCAATTAATCAATTATCTATATATGTGTACATAACGTATCATCCTCTCAAAAGAAAGATTTCATACCTACTAGGATATGCATCGTGCAATAATACATAAATTGCTAATATATATATATATCAAAACATAATTAAAAATAAGGACTGGCACAAATAAAGCTATTTACTCACGTACTGTCAAACACCTATTTCTTACACTAAGTAACTACCGTATTTTTCGGAATATAAGACACCCTTATTTTGAAGTACAAA